TAAATTCACTTATATAAAATTATGATTATCCCTTTCATAGATTGCAAATCTGTTTGATAGATGGAAATCTTTAGTAATAAGTTCATTTTGCGGAGGCATAGATTCATCATCTGCTGTACTGCTTATCTGTAAGGTACGTCTTATATCTGATACAAACCATTTAGAATTAAATAAGGAACTTATTTGTATTCATCTTATTTGATTGTACTACTGCCGCCACTAGCCTACATGAATTACATTGAGTTGAATGTATTTCGTATAAATTGTTTGGGTATACAGTATATAATGATTACCACATGAGTGCCAGGTTAAAATGCTTCTTAATGCTCTACAACTAGTAAGTTGGCGTATACGTTTCATCGATTTTAAAGTACGATTTTCTTTCTGTTGCATTTCACGTATGTATGATATGTAAATAAGCCTTACTGTGAATTTTCAAATGACACAGATGCTTCTGATTTTAATGATAACTCATTATGCATTAGCTTCCAGTGCGTATTTCTACGTAGTACGTACTGATTTCAGAAAGAGGTTTTGAAAATATCTCACCAGACATTACGACAATATACCAACATGTAAACAGGGACGTTTCCTCATGGTTGTGTGTATGCGATTAAGTATTTATAGCACGTCGGTATGGCACACGATTATACGCAGTCGTAGGCCTCAAGTTTTCTACTAGGATTAGCTGATGTAATTTCACACGACTTTTAAACGTTATACAGTACAGGGACATTAAAGCTTTTAAACTTCCATATAAACGATAAAACTTTTCAACGGATTTTAAGATGTGTTGTTTTGCATTTCAGTTGTTGTACGAAGCTGGTGTTTCATTACAATCAATGATCATTTCCTACTTTCTGCTCGCCATCATCTCAACTGTTACCTTTACATTTATTTTACCTCCATTTACAATTACTTCCGAAGCCATAACTGAATCTGGGAATGCAAAGGAGAGGTCTGCCAAACCGAGGGTAAATACTGTGATTAATTTCCATTTAATTTGAACAATTCTCTAAATTCTAATATGCTATTAGTCTGGTCTACTGTGTTTGGGTTTGCCAAATATTAAAATGTCCTTTTTCCTGACAAGACGACGATTATTTTACAAGCCTTCCGGTATGGGAATTCGATTTAGACCAATTAGTAGCTCAATCAGTGGGTCCCCAAAATATAATGTATCTATATTTAGTGAGCATTTGGCACGCATATTGGAACAGCTATACAATGAAGTGCACACAGTTAGGAACTCGAAAGAATTATTTGTAAAACCAAAGTCACATTATAGTTTTGACGATTCATTCAAATTTGTTTAATGTTAACCTTTTTGAAGACTTTTTCGCAACAGTTATTCTGCCAACTCATGATCAAGTTGTATATGAGCTGATAGTCTTATAAGATGATAGATGAATTCTTACATTTGTAAGAATTTTTCAATTTAAACTGATTAAAAAAATTATATTTTTGAAAAACATAATGCGAAAGAGCGAATATAAAAACATGAACAGAATCTGAATATATATCTTTAGAAACACTTATAAAATCAAAAACCCTTTATAGAAGTAAAGTCAAATAGCTTTAAATTTTGTTTCGTCTTCAAATTTTTTGAAGATTGCACATGAATTATCACCACTCTGTCAATCTGAAGTTAAGAACGAAAAGGAGGAAGATGACGAAGTTAAAGATATTGATGCCGAATCAAGCGAAGGTAGCAAATATATCTCGTTTTTGTCTTAAAAAAATAATTTACCCATGTAAATTGTGTTTTCAGATTTTACCGACTGTTACAGTTTGATATACAAGAAAGCATCAGTGCACAATTAACAATCATGTCATGAGCACGAGTCGAGACGGCGAAATTCTTCGCGTGAAATTGTGTCGGTGAAATATGATGATTGTTGCACATAGATGATTATATTGAATTTTGCCACTTTATTCGCTTTCGCAATGAGTAAAAGCACAATTTATCTTTACTGCGCATGCACAAATTCATTTCGTGCAAAATGTTTTGCATTTCGCCCAGAAAATCCGCTCGTGGAATCAGATCTTAACGCTTGGAAGCCTCGTGTATTGCAGCAAAAGGTTTTAAACTTATCTCCATCCCCTGTATCCAAATACCATCCCCAATTAAACAGAATTATATCTTAGCTCAAAAGTATATAAACATCTGTAGTTCACAGTGGTTGCACATAAGAAGGTAAGAAAATTGGGCTTTGGACGCAATTTTTATGAATTAATGAATTGCCGATATTTATAAACTCTTCAACTGGAGCTTCAACTTATTACTCGCACTTTGAAATAAAATAAATTTAATCCGTACAGGACGCTAATCAATCTCGTTTTCCGACCCTGCGATCCTTGGGAAGCTAGGAACGTGAGGCTCTGGCATAATCCGTTGCCGGAAGCCAGAAATCCTGGCTAAGACCGAACTGCGCATTCCATATCAACAGCCAATCAGATTCCTCCCTGAAACGAATTATCACAGAGCCTCACGTTCCTTCCCGAGGATCGCAGGCTCGGGGAACGAGATTGGACGCTAATGAAAATAATTTGCTTTTTTGAATGAAAATAATTTGCTTGCGTTTTTCCAAGCTTTCTTACATGTATTTTTTATATTTTTTGCCTTCTTCACTCCTGGCAAACAGCCATATTTTGAGATCAGTGAGATGACCACCCACCGAGCCACGCACGGTAACCCACGCCCGCGATCATTGATGAACTTTAGACTTCGCTAATACTTTCGTTTCCCCGGGTGTTAATAGCCGGGCGGAATTAGTACCTTCGCCCCGGGCTTACGCCCGAAACGGCGCTCCGCGCCGTTGGTTCGGGAATCATGATCGGATTACTGAGAAATGTCAACAAAGTATCTCTCAAACCATTGTTAATGCCGTAACTAAAGTCGGAACACAAGAAGCTACAAAACCTAGAGATAAGAGCATGGAACACGTCAATAAATCGCCAATTTCTCCCCTAGCCTTTCATCGGTTTCCCTAAGGTCTCCGCCAGGAAGCCCGTAAACATTGAACATTCAACAATCTACAACAACGTCAAGAAATCAATCAAATTCGTTTCCATTTGGCTTTAAGCTTGGACAAATGACATTTCAGAACAGTTATTAAGTTTTAAAGTTTTAATCTGTTTGTTGTGATATTTTGCAATTTGTGTACATGTTGAGAGTAGCATGTTCTTAAATATTAATTAAAAACCAGGACGAATTCGTTTTTAGTTTATTGTTTGTTCGATATAATAGAAATCATATTGGATTCATCTTCGCCCAATATGGCAAAGAAGTCTTGAACATTGAAGTCTCGTCTTAATATTTTGCCAGAATCCAATAAGATATAATATCTATATGTCTTCGCATACGTCATCTCAGTATTATTCGCGCGACCCGTACTCAAACAACTATCAGGTCACTAGCTAAGTGCTGGCGTCAGATGAAAAATCATTCCAAGGTCGCCCTACACCAGTGAACTAAAAATACCTGGAACGCTACTTCCAATAGGATTGGCTTATGATCGGATGAAGCCAAATTTTACCTCCAGCCGCGCGTGTTCTACCTCCAGACACGCGCGTTTGTGTTGCGAGACATTCTCGCGAGACCATTTCGGCGAAGTGACTGAATGTTTTTTCTCGGGCGAATGGATCGAAAATTGTCGTTTATTTAGGGCTTTAAGCTATATTTTTGTATTAAAAGTGTATTTAAAACATATCTTGAACCCTACCGACTAAAATTGCAAGGAAGAAAGTAACCGATTGGCCGACAACAAGTGCATATTTGAATGACTGGAACGTTTATATGCAGATGAAACTTGAGAAAGATAAGTAATTCTTTATCTTAACGTATTAAACATATATTTATAACAACTTCATTGATTGTTAAACAAGATAAGTTTATTTAATCTGTATCTATCACTTTGTTTGCCTTCGTTGACGACTTGTTCTGTGTATTTCTTGCCGAATGTGAATAATCGCAACAAGAAGTACTTGTCCGCGAAAAAACTTTCTTAATGTTTTTAATTAATGTTTATATTTGTTGTAAAACTTAATAAATACTCTACTACAAAACATAATTAAACTGTGGTTGGTAGTTTGATCTTGTTAGAATACCTTTTTTCCTAACTTTCAGACGAATAAATTGGAAAACGAATGAGCAAAATAGGGAAATTCACACAAATACTTATGATTAGACCACGGCAAGCTCCACTCCTCGCTGAACGGTTTTTCTCGAAAAAGGAAATTTAACTATGAATTCTACACAAATAAATTAAAAATATTTTACCCAGGAGTTTTGAAGGATGTTTTTATTGTAAAAAATGTACTGGTAGGTGCATTTTACGTCGTCTTAAACCATGTTTTAGTGCATTTTTTTACCCAGTTTTGGAAATTTAAAAACCCGCGTTCATTCCCGTTACGTGAAAAGACTGGGCATGACAACAGTGGGCATGCCTGGGCATGGCTTCACATTTCCGGTTGGAGGTATCGTTCCAGTTACTTTAGTTCAATGCCCTACAGAAACAACTATGGCGGGAAAATAAGTGCTGACGTCATTTAGCGGGAAATTTTTGCTGGATGGGGGCTTACGTACTATTAGCAATGCAGCAGTTTACTTCTGCAACAACTTTTAGTGTCTTCGCGAATGGAATATCCCTGGGTGGTGAGGTTGGTAGGAATTGTACTTTTAAATCGCTCTCTGATTGAATGTCTTACACATACATGCCCATGCATTTGGAATATAGACAGTGAAAGCTTAAATTCACGTGATGATGCACTACCTTATTTTTCTAGAAAGAGCACCTGGGCTAATGAGTCAGATGTTGACAGCTGAATATATACTGTCAGTTTTGTACATGAGTGTGTGTAGCCTTCGTCTGTGGTTTTATGTTGGTGATTTAAACTCATATTTGGAATTTATGTCTGACTATGACAAGGATACAGGTAAGTTGACTTTCATTGTTTGCTTACTTTTTTCATCTTTAATACAGCAAAACGGAAACAATTTATTTGTGCGTTCGATCTTTTAATATAGTAAGCAAGTATACCAATTGGTTTGGCATTATTCAATGTACTGGTTTTTTCTTTGCTCCCATCATTGGTTTTGTCATGGACTGGAGACTAAAGAAGAAAGGGAATGAGAAAACTGATCATGGTTTCGTAGCTGGTTATCTTTTGACTGCATTTGTTGCTTTAATATTGAATATTCTTGTTCTCGTTCCCAGTCTATCTGTGCAGGTATTAGAGCTATGAAAGTCAAGGCATTAATTAATCTAAAAACACCGCTATAATAAATAATACAAGAGCCACGTTCCCAGCGACAGCCGGGACGGGGTATACAAATTCCGTTCTGCTATTCACACCAGAGAAAAGGACATCAAGAGGATTGAAAAGTTCATCAACTATCGCAGGGTCATGGGTGTCACGGGGTGATCAACTCACTTATCTCGGAAATAGGAACAGGCAAGAAAAAAAGAAAAAAACGTTTCGTACGACATTTTGAAGCATTGTTTTGAATTTTGCTTTAAAACGAAATGATCAGTAAACATTCATTATTATTTCAAGAAATAGAAAACGAGGGAATGTTGGGAGAATACGAGAGAAGTGTGTAAACACGCTAAAATTAAAACGTAATAACTGACTGCATAGGGAAAAATGTTCGAAAATGATAAAAATAACCCAACCTCACAAGGATATGAATTTTCTGTTGTTTTGCTGCATCTTACAAGTCGGATTTGGCAGCAAAGCGGTGGAGTCCACAATATAATAATTTATGTATGCGTGTGTATACGTGCATGTATGTATATACGTTAAAGAGTCATTGTCATGCAACCACAATGCATTGTGTGCCCAAATCTGCTTGGTGGCCATTTTAATGGCGGCATAATAGATGTTTCGGTTTTCAACCATAATATATTACTACCATCCTATGGTTATACTGCTCATTTTAACTTTTTATACTAAAATTGGACAAAGGAAATGTTTATAATCGTCATTTGTTGCTATTTTCACTTCCGAAAGTAAAATGTAAACAAATGCATTGACTTTTTAATTGACTCTTTAGTCTTTAAATGACTCTTTAATTGGTATCCATATAATTGAGTGGTTGATTTTAAGTGAAAATTGCGTTGGACGGCGGATAACTTGAATGCATAATCTGCTGGATATTAAATTTATCGAAGGTCTGGAAGTAATTTTAATCGACTATCCAGTTGATGAAATTTAATCTAGGGGTCTGGCGTTAACATTCATATGTATGATATTTATATCATACCAGGTACAGGGGGTTTGACGAATTTTTGGGTTTACTCAACTTTCCATCCTTTGGTTGAACATTTCCATCACTGGATCGTGAGAGAAATGCATGACTAATATTTTTTTCTTTATTTAGTACGTTTCATTTCTCGTCGAAGTTGTTTTTAGAGCGTTCAATTACTCTGTTTTCCCTGCATTTCTTATGCACAAGTAAGTGTCATTTATAGACGTGGGATAATCCCCAAGCAACTAGATGAGGGACTGGGAAGTTTGTCCAGCTAATTACACTGCAACAATGCTAAGTTAAAAATCATCAAAATGTTTGTCATCTATTATACGGGGTAGCATTCTTCGAGTTAAGCCCCAACGTTTTGCAAGATGTAAACGAGTTACTTAAAATGCCCAGAATAGCGAAGTTTAAACTGTTCCCAAACAAGTTGTCATTTCAATCGCGTTTCGTTCAATACGTTTTATATCAGCCGACGTATATATTATCAAATTGTATATATTGAGGTGGATTTGCATTTCGCAACAGGTCGCACGATCGACATTTTGCGACCGCTTTCCGTTTTGAAATGTGTACAGTCTAATGAAATCGTTTCAAATGACTGTTTGTATTTCAAAAAGTACCACATAAACGGTACACTACACAAAATACTTAACGCTTACATATAGTCTACAGAGGTCTTATGTACTCGACTCTGGGGTTAGATGGGACATATCAATCTACATGACAAAATAAATTAGTTTCACATACTTCACGAGATGGTCTGCTTGCAAAACCCTGTGCATGAGTATTGTACATCATCAAATCGCACCTATATCTATATATCATTAAGGAATAATTCAACACGACATGTGCATGGACTGACAAAGAAAATAAACAAAACACCACAGGCACTATATATATATATATATGACCTACTACTATACAATATTACACGGTAAGGTATACTTTTCAGACCCGGTGAAGATCTCAGAAACCAACAACTAAATAAGGCTTACAAGAAAGTTGGACAACGCAAAATCTCAAACGCCTGCATGTAGAGGTCCAATTACCTATTTCTAAAATACTTTTTAACGGAAACAGAAGTCAAAGAAATTTTGAAACGTGCTCCAGACAGTATGCAAGATCAAACGGAAACATCAAGAAAAAAGGCCAAGCTTCTCCGACGCCACAACCTTCCCCTACCGTCGTGTTGAAAACTATTGAAATGGATTCCATTTTCGAATCTGAAAGATCATATCCGCGCCAGAGCAAGTGTGGCACGTGGCAACAAAAAAACGAGAAGTTGAGAGCTTCGTGTTGCTCGAGTAAATGTGCAATGTTGCAATTGGCTGGAAAAATATTCGTTTCTGTAAAGGGACTTTATATTCCAAGCAGACAACGATTTGCAACCCCTTGCCAATTTACTTTTGTTCTGACCTACGGTACATTGCCTCGCGCAAAGGCCACTTGCCACTGGTACCGCCTACTGTTATAACGGTTGGTGCAAATTCTCAATTATCTCTCCGACTGACGTTGCACTAATAGAGAGTAGAAGACTTCGATAATTATTGAACTACAGAACATATTGAACTAAAAAATGTACATATGATTGTTTAAGGGTTTTTACTTGATTTATGTAAATATAATGATTTATATATAAGCTATACTACTTGTTACGTTTGAAAAATATTTTATTTTCCACCATGTAAATTGTTGGCGACACATCCCGATCGTTTCTGCCGCAAATAAAACATTTATGTTAATTAATTATTACTGAATTATACATTATATACTAAAAATAATGAATATTGTTTATTTTCCGTAACTTTCAAACGTTGGACTTAACTCGAAGAACAAAATTTTTTACTATGCTCGAGTTAAGCCCCCATTTTTTAGAGGGCTTAACTCGAAGTACCTAACTCCAGTTATGTACTTGGAGTTAAGCCCTCAACGGAAATGGGTGTGACATGGGCGTTATATGGGCGTAGTCGTGGCTTAACTCGAAGGGCTTAACTCGAGGGATTTAACTCGAAGATTTGCTACCCCCTATATCATACGGTGTGTGCATGTAAATTTACGCGCTATAAGTATTAAATTATTATTATGCAAACCGTGAGTGGACCGGTAATTATTTTTTTTTTCTTGGAATTCGCCCGGGTCAATGTATATACCCCATGAACTTGCTCTCACCAAGGCATGTGGTACAACACGGTGACTCAACGCATCCAGACATGCGCAGAGCGTAATGGAGCCAGAGTGCTCGAACGACCACAAGGGAAGTGAGCTTTGCATTATCGCTAATAGACATCCATTAACAACTCCGCAGAGTGCTCAACAACACCGAAGTGAAGGAGCGTAATAGTATACAATCTGCAGACATGCATGTTTCGGCGTTCAACGCCTCGTCAGTACAGCTTGGTACACGTCTAGATACGTGAGACACTCGTATTAATACCCCATGAACTTGCTCTCACCAAGGCATGTGGTACAACACGGTGACTCAACGCATCCAGACATGCGCAGAGCGTAATGGAGCCAGAGTGCTCGAACGACCACAAGGGAAGTGAGCTTTGCATTATCGCTATATATATATATATATATATATATATATTGAGTTGTGTAATTGTACACTCCGTAATATGCTAAGGTGAAAATGTTCTCGAGTGTATATATATATATATATATATATATATATATATATATATATATATATATAATTAACAATTATACCATGAGCTCGAGTCGTATATGAGCTGATAGCCGACGAGGTGCGTAGCACCGAGTCGGCTATCAGCCATATACGACGAGAGCGAATGGTATAATTGTTTTATAATATAGTCTAATATAGCCATTAACTGCATGAAGCAGTAATTAATTATTCACTGTTACAATGTGTTGACAATTTGTTCGGCCAAAAACCGCTTGAAAATTTGAAATACTTTTGTTTTACAACTCGAAGACGAAGTGAAAGAAACGGTTTTAGAACCTCTATATCTCACAAGAAAGCTCAGATATATT